AGAGATAAAGATAGAACCATTATAATAGGACGGAGGTAGTACATGTATATTCACTTCATGGGATAGATATAGAACCATTATAATAGGACGGAGGTAGTATGTACACTTCATGGGATAGATATAGAACCATTATAATAGACGGAGGTAGTAGGTACACTTAATGGGATAAAGATAGAACCATTATAAAAGGAGGGAGGTAGTATATACACTTAATGAGATAGATATAGAACTATTATTTTAGACGGAGGTTGTATTTACACTTAAGGTAATAGGATTGTGTCACCATTTCTCAGTAGAATTTCTTCACATTTTGTAGTTATATTGCTTTAAAGTAAAGAAAATTTTCTGCCACAAAAAAAATATAGGTTGTCGGAATTTTAAGGATTTTAAATGGAAATTTTTGTAGAAAGGAGTGAATTTTGAAAAAAAAATGAAAGACACAATATTTTTACCAAATAATGTCAATAAAAATGATACTGACATATATTAGTATTGCATTAATGTATATCAATTTAATAAATGCTGAAATTGTGTAAAATTAATTCTCTATACACGATATGAAAATTGACATTTTATAATAAAACCATATACACATAGTAATTGCAGGTAAGAGTTATCGTTCTTGAAAAACTTAACAATAGTGAAATAGGTAGCCGGTTTCCTGAAGTACAGAAGATGGACACATGTGTCTCATTGATAAAAAAAAAAAACTGAATTAATGCCTGGATTGCTTTGAAATAATTTAATATTGAGAGAACACACTGTTCTGTCAATAATAAACATACAATATTCATCAGTTTAATATTAAACATTAGAATTTGCGGAAATTGTGACACTGTCTCCCTACATTGGATTTTCAACTAGGGTTGTACTTCCTGTTTCCGTTTATCGATACACTCCTATGACCTTAATGGGATAAAGATAGAACCATTATAATAGGACGGAGGAAGTATGTACACTTAATGGGATAATAATAGAACCATTATAATAGGAGGGAGGTAGTATATACACTTAATGAGATAGATATAGAACCATTATAATAGACGGAGGTAGTATATACACTTAATGGGATAAAGATAGAACCATTATAATAGGAGGGAGGTAGTAGGTACACTTAATGGGATAAAGATAGAACCATTATAATAGGACGAAGGTAGTAGGTACACTTCATGGGATAAAGATAGAACTATTATAATAGGATTGAGGTAGTATGCACACTTAATGGGATAAAGATAGAACCATAATGATAGGATGGAGGTTTCCATACAACTACAGTGCGACTGAGGTAGAAGGACGTTTTAAAAGGATGAGAATAGCAAAATTATGATTGAACATAAAAGTAACGGGGTCATTGTTATCGGACAGAGATAGTAGGGCCGTTATAATAAGATGGAGGTTATGACGGTATTGAATTAAAAAGTAAGTTTATTATAAGCTTTTTGTTTAAAAAAGATGTCTTTCCAGTTTAAGCTGACCTAATAATATAATAGACATATTATAAGAATATGAATTATCCATCCATTATTGATTATTTTCTTTAATTTAAAAATATGTTGCTTAAATAGCCTTACATGTGCATAGCAAACTCATTTTACATTTAATAGAGGGTCGGCTTCAACCCGTCCTGGATGTAGGCGGTGATAAGAGGTCAGCGATATACCGGGTAGGTATTATACTTGTAAAATTATCTTGATTTGTTTACCATGTCACAGCACTAAAAAAAACCATCCTCTGGTACTCTCGGCCGGTATTCATGTCAAGGAGGACTAACAATTTGTTTATGTAAATCATGAAATGATATTAATCTTCAACGGTTTTTATTTGAAATAACATTTTATGGTCCTTCATCCCAGGTAATTACTGGTTGAAATACAATAAACTAGGCATTGTTTAGGTCTGAAGTGTATGAAGGATGTGGCCTTTCAGGGGTCGGAGGGTCAGGGCTCTAAAGAGGACAATTTGATTATTTTTTGTCAGTTTCAACTTCATTTAACGTTTGATATAACAAAGGAATGATGAACGTGTAAAAGTGACATTTTAACAATGAAAAATAACTACATTACATAACTCTGGAGAAATTAAGGACCTTGAGCCTATTGTTCAAGCATAAAACGATCTTACATTACCGATAAAATAATGTGTTTTGACATTCCATAGAATAAAAAATCTATGATGAAACATGTGACGTTTAAGATATCAGTTAAACGTAATTTCTATTATAGATGAATGATGAATTAGCATGATGAATCAACTGTACTAAATTAATTAAGTGATTCCTTTATTTCAGTCACAACGAGCTGATCAAATACAACGATTGGAAATAGACATACGAAAGCAACACGCAGATATGATAGGGGAACTAAACGGATTTATTTCTCCAGAATTACAGCACGAATGGGATCTATTTCGAAATGGACTGACTCCGTATCTTACGCCACGTGAGATATACGGTTCAGGTGTGAAGTTTGTAGGCCATATCTGTGAGAGCCTTCTTCGTAAGGATATCATCAAGTACGGAGAATACATTGTCCTCTTTGAAGTTGTCAACTCCATAGACGTGCGTGTCGGCGAGATAGTCGAGAGAGCAACAACAGCCATCAAAGATATCAAAATGAAGATATCCGCTCTAAAGCCCGAAGGTTAGAGGAATACATGTCATTTAGGGAATGAAAGGCTAATAAAGTATTCCTGATAGCGAGATCACATTTCAAAATGATGACGTTCTTTTTCTATAAACCCTTTTATTAGAAATTAGAGGTAAAACAATATCATACTCGTTGTACAAGAAAAAGCAGCAAAACAAACCAAACAATTTTTTTTTCTTATAGAATCAATTAAGCCACTGGAAGCCATTTACAATATAAATTTCAAATTATTAGAAGAAAAGAAAGGAAAAAAACAAATATAAGGCAACAAAAAATGAAGGGAAGTATTGTTTGTTCAAAAGCTAACTGGTTAGAGGAGGGAAAGAGACCAACATTTTTTTTTTAATTTCATAAAACAGAAATTTCACTTCAAAACATATTCCTATGTTTGGTAAAGGAAAATGGGGAAACTATTAGGAAACAGGAGGATATTTTAAATGAAATTAAACGTTTTTATGAACAGTTATTTATTAGTGATATTGAAGAAACTGATTAAGATGCTTTTTTAGAATATATTGATGTCCATCATATTCCTAAGTTAAATCAGACTGAATCTTTGATTTTAGAGGGTAATATTTCTTTTGATGAAGCTTCACGCATTTAAAAAAAATATGAAAAAAAAAAAGGCTTGATGGTTTTACTGTTGAATCTTTAAAATGTTTTTAGGCACGATTAGGTAACTTTGTTGTAAGATCACTAAACTATGGATTTATGAATGGTAAACTATCAGTATCCCAAAGACGGGGAATTATAAAATATCTACCGAAGGGAGATAAATCCAGGCAGTCTTTGAAGAATTGGAGGCCTTTTTCTTTGCTTAAAATAGTTTATAAAATAGCATTAGGATCAATTGCGAGAAGATTAAAAAAAAGTTTTAGAGAAGTTTATAAATAGGGATCAGACAAGTTGTGTTGCAGAGAGGTACAAAGGGGAAAAAGAAATACTTGGTATGGTTTTAACATTAAATTTCGAAAAGGCTGTTAGTTTGGATTTTATGAATGCAGTTTTGATTTCTTTTTTAATTGTTGGGTTGATATACAACGGCGGATACACAATTTACATTGTAATGCATTATCATCTATTAATCAGGGTGGTTAACATTCAACATCTTTCGAAATTAAGAGAGGATATCGACAAAGCGACCCTATTGCTTAATTTTTTTTATTGTATGTGTTGGAATACCTGCTTCCAGAATAAGAATTAACAAGAATATCAAAAGATAAATATAGATAAAACTCCTATTTTACTATTGCAATATGCAAATGATAAATCAATTATCTTAGACGGTACAATACCATCTTTGAAAGAATCATTTAATGAACTGTATAGCTTTGCAAAAGAAATCAGGTTTAAAAGTATATTATGGCAAAACACTAGTTATCTGGATTTGCAGTATAAATATAGTGAAGACATATCGTTTCAGATTTGAATTTACAGAGGNNNGGGGGGGAGGGGAGGGGGATACAGTTTACAGTTTTAGGCATCTAATTTAATGTATATTAACAAGAAATTCTCAAAATTAACTATTATTAATTATTAATTCAGACATGGAACAGAAGGATTTTAACACCTTTGGGAAAAATACAAATTATAACGCCACTTCTTATATCAGAACTTAATCATCTTTTTATCTCGTTTCCAAACCACTGACAATTCTTTTATTAAAAAAAAAATACAGAGCTTTTCAATTTCTGATGGGAAAGTAAAGGTGATAAAATGATACATTGTTCCATTTACAACCATTCATAGACTATTTAAAGTTAACCTGGATATGTAGGTTGTATAAATCAGAAGGAAAATGTAATATCTTACTTAAAACATTTGGAAATTCAGACATTCTAGCTTATTGTAGTTAAGAGTATATTTCAAAATATCAGCAGAATAGTAAACATGTTGGAAAGATGTCTTATTAAGTCGTAGTAAATTAACTAAAACGGTTCAAAGTTTCGGATATAAAGAGGCAAGTATTCTCAAATTACCTTTTTGTTACAATAATTCAGTTAAGTTAGAAAATTTGAGAGGGAATGGTATAGAAGAATTGGAGTAATAATAATTTATGACTTAACTAAAGAAAATAGAAAAGGTATGTTTTACAGTTATTAACATTTATAGAAAAATTTAACATAAATACAGATCATAGATATTCTTAATATAAATATATACTTTCCTTATAAACCTATGAACTTGGAAATATATTTCAATAGCAAAAAGTTTTTTTTTTTTTTTTATAAAGTATTATGCAAAAATTATTTATTCACTACTGGAAGAAGGAATTGGGATGATTCTTTTTAAATTTTGGGAAAATAAATATGTTATGATTAATAACCATATCTTAACTACTAATTCATATCTATTCAAAATAGGCCTTGTTGATTACCCTTATTGTTTTCATTGTAACATTTGTAAAACTTGTATTCCTTAGCAGATTTCGAATTTCTAGATTTTCTATTCATACCATTTGCTTTATATAGAGAGTCTTTTATCTTTGGTCTCTATATTTGAAATAAACCAATGTAGATAACTTAGTAATTCTAATTATAAATCTATATATGTACACTTATATGGCCTGATGTCTGCAGACTCACCTATCAATTCCAGCTCTTGCGATTTTCCTATCTCCTTCTTTTTCTTCGGCTAAAACTGTACCTAAAATAAATTCAATGTAACAACTTTCACTTAGAATACCTTTTTGGTTTTTGCTTTATTATAACATTTTATAGAGGTTTTGTTTGTTTTTGTAATTGAATTTAATAGATTACAATATCAATTTCAATGAGGTAAATACAGACAAAGTACGCATTGCTGAAAGATTATAAACGAGTGAGCAAACAGTTTATATGTTGAAAGTGTAATGTACTGTTACCAAAATTCTGTACAAAAAAAAAAAAATACTCCAAAAAAATCAAAAGAAAATCGACTGTATTAACGGAACATCATATAATGTAACAATGTTAGGTAATAGATCGTTTGATCTATTCACCGTATTATTCGAAGCAATGGGTTGCTATATACAATGTAAATGTATGATGATTACAATCATAGGTAATGATTACAATTCATTAAAATAATTCGGTCTAAGATGTTCAATTGTACAAATACAGAATAATTTAAAGCATTCGTCGAATATAAGCTGTGGTAATGTATAATATTGTGTTCTTTCTTTTGTACACCGAAAATGTTGCATTGTAAATATAACTTGTTTCATAATTGTTGTAAAATAAATATTTTTTTACAGCTTACTCGGCGGGAGAGCTTTCAAGCTTGTCAAATGTATATATCTTGAACCACATTCAAAGTCACAGTGGTTAAGTGTGTTAAAAAAATAAAAATAAATCTTCTTAAAAGAATATCATGATCACCTGGTCCGAAGGTGAGGTGATCATGAGCTCATGACGTAAGATTACTAGACCTGAAAGGGCCCACTACGGGAAAACAATTAAATGTTTAAAATCCTTCACCTTTAATAAGAAATTATTATTAATAATTCCCAGATTCACATATCTAGTTCTACTTGCTTATCATTATACGTAGTTAAACATATCCAGCTTTTATTTATCTATTTTACTTTTTAGGCCACCATCATCAGATGGTGGGTTAAACAAATCGCCTTTCGTTCGTCGTCCGTCTTTAAACAATTCTTGTTATCGCTAGTACTCTAGAAGTACTTAAACGATTTTCTCAAATTTCATATGAAAGTTCACCTTGGTCCTTAGTTGTTTATGTTTGACTTTGAGAGCTATCAGATAATCGAAGATGGCCCCTAGGCAACCATCTTTGTTTGTAAGAGTAAAGTTTGATATCGCTACTTCTCAAATTTCATATGAACATTTCCCTTGTTCCCTTGTTGTGTATGTTCTATTTTGAGACTGATCAGATAAATAAAATGGCCGACAGGCGGCCATCTTTTGTTTAACCGTTAAGGTGTGCTACCGCTATTTCTCAGAGAGAACTGGAGGGATCTTTCTCGAATTTGATATGCAGGTTTCCTTTGGTCTACAACTCTGCGTGTTTACTTCTGAGACTGATAGGAAATAAAAAAAAACTTACAGGCGGCCATCTTCGATTTTGATTGTTAAGATATGTTATCTGTATTTCTTAGAAAGTACTGAAGATGTCTTTTTTTCAAATTTGATATGTACAATATAGGTAACACTTGGTATCTAGTTGTGCCTGTTTACTTTCGAGACTAATCGGAAAAAACAAAATGACTGACAAGAGGCCGTCTGGGTTTTTGACAGCTTTGTTATCTTTATTTCACGGAAAGTTCTGGAGGGATCTTTCTGAAATTTTATATTTATGTTCTCGCTGTTAAAAATACCTCTGGCCCTAATGAAAATTCATTCTTCAATGGCAGCACTTCCAATAATCTAACATTCGATATTATTAATAATATTTCAGTTTGTAGTTTGACAATACGGTAGTAATATCAAGCAAGTCGGAAAAAGAGAAATAAGAAAATATAAGGCAAAATTAAGTTAAGGGAAATATTGTTCGTTCAAAAGCTAAGTGTGAGAGGAGGGAGAAAACCAACTAATTTTTTTTCAATATCATCAATCAGAAATTATACTTCAAAATTTTCTGATGTTTGGAAAAGAAAAATGGGGAAACTATTCAGGAACAGAAGGATATTCTAAATGATTTCTAGTGTGGTGATATTGAAGAAACTGATTTAGTTTTTTAGATACTATTGTAAATCATATTCCTAGCTTAAACCAGACTGAATCTTTGATTTTAGAGGGCAATATTTCTTTTGATGAAACTTATTTTGAAAATTTGAAAAACAATAAAAGTCCTGGATCTGATGGTTTTACTGTTGAAGTTTTAGAAATATTTTTGCGGACAATTAGGTAACTATGTTGTGAGATTACTAAACCATGTATTCATAAATGGTAAACTCTCAGTGACCTAAAGACAGGGAATTATAACATGTCTACCAAAGGGAGATAAACCCAGTCAGTTTTTGAAGAATTGGAGGCCTGTTTCTTTACTTAACACAGTTTATAATATAATCAGGATTATAAAGAAGGTAATAAATACAGATCAGACAGGTTTTGTTGCAGGGAGGTACACAGGAGGAAATACTAGGTCAATACATGGTACGCAGAAGAAATCGAAACTCCTTGTGTGAGTTTAACAATAGATTGCGAAAAGGCTTTTGATTTTGTCAGTTGGGATTTTATAAAAAACACTTTTGTTTTTGTTTTTGTGTCGCCTGCAACATGAGACGCCATATAAGTATTACTTTGTCGGCGTCGCCGGTTGCGTCGTCCGAAACAAGGTTTCCTTGTGATAACATGAGTTCCTTTGGGTTGATTGAACTCAACCTTGGTACACATATTGCATACTAACAAAGGGGCATTTTAGAAGTTAACGTGCATTTTTGGTGGAGTTATGCCCCTTTTATTGCCAAATAAGGGCATTGTGGAGTAAATTTCAATTTGTACAGTAATGCTAGAAGCAATAATGTTCAACATATACTACGGGTTTTTCTGTCGAGTTTCAACTTTCCGCGTTTTGGCTTATCTGTTTACACGATAACTCAAGCCGAAACACGTTTCTTACTAAAACGCTGAGCAGGCGACACATCTACTCCCGTTGAATTCTTGTTAATTTTGGGGTTAATATACAACGAAAGATACAATTTTTTATTTCTTATGCAGTAACTTCTATTAATCAGAATGGTAATCTTTCAACATTTTTCGAAATAAAGAGAGGATACTTATTGACAAGGCGACCCTATTGCTCCATATTTATTTATATTATATTATTTGTGTTGAAATACTTGCTTCAAGCATTAGAATTAATGAGAATGTCAAAGGTATCTATTTTACTATCACAACATGCAGATGACAAATCAATTATCTTAGACGGTACAATACTATCATTGAAAGAAAGATTTAATGAACTGTATAGCTTTGCAAAAAATCTGGTTATAAGTTATTTAAGGCAAAACACTAGTTGTCTGGTTTTGCAGTAAAAAATATGGTAAAATAGTACTCATTTCATATTTGAATTTACAAGGGGGAAATATAAACTTTATAGTTTTGAGCATCGAGTTTAATAAAATGCTCAAAGGAAATGAAATGAAATGAAATTTCTACAGGAAATTCCCAAAATTACATATGATAAGAAAAAGTAAAACTTAAGTGATTAATTAAGACACGGAACAGAAGGATTTAAACATCTATATGGAAAAATACAAATGATTAAGTCACTTCTTATATCACAGTTTAATCATTTATTTATCCCTTTGCAAAACCCTGACGATTCTTTTATTGAAAAACTAAATACAGAACTTCACAATTTCTTAAGGAATAGTAAAGAGGATAAAATAAAAAGAGAAATGATCAAAAACTACCATGAAAGGGGCTTTAAAATGTTACGCATACAACCTTTCATAGACTCTTTAAGATTTTATTTCTTTATTTGCTATATATTATTATATTATTTCATTAATAACCTATGTGATTTAAAACATACTTCACATTATTATCATTATATGTATTGGAAAACATAATTAAGTATAAAGAAAAGGAATGCCAAAATATATCATGTTCTCGTAATGCATAATATGATATATATTATATATAGAATAACGTTACGAAAAAATAAAAATAAAAACAAAACAAAAATATTAAGAGGTGTTTTTTATGGAAAATATCTATTCATAATGGTACTTATATAATTATTATTTACTTGGCAATAGCAATCATAAACAAATGATGNTCACAGTTTAATCATTTATTTATCCCTTTGCAAAACCCTGACGATTTTTTTTATTGAAAAACTAAATACAGAACTTCACAATTTCTTATGGAAAAGTAAAGAGGATAAAATAAAAAGAAAAATTATAAAAAACTACTATGAAAGGGGCTTAAAAATGTTACACATGCAACCTTTCATAGACTCTTTAAGATTAACCTGGATCCGTCGGCTGTATAAATCAGAGGAAAATGGAATATTTTATTCAAAATATTTGGAAATGGAGATATTTTAGCTAATTATGGTTTAGATGATATTTTAAAATGCCAGCTGAGTTGTAAAAATCTATTTTATCTTATCAAGTTGTCTTATCATGTCGTAGTTAGTAAGCTAAAAAGGTTCAAACGGATATAAAGAGGAAAGTATTCTTAAATTACTTATTTGTTACAATAATTCACTTTAGTGAGATGATAGGAGTATTTTTAAATGGATTGGTATAAAAACAGGAGTAGTAATAATTGATGACTTAATTAAAGAAAATTGTAACAGTGTTTTACAATTACAAATGTATCAACATTTATAGAGAAATTTAACATGAAAACAGATAAATAACTCTATAAGAAAAATTGTATCGCTGGAAGATATACTTAATATGAATATATACTTTGCTTATATACCTATTAATTTTGAAATACGTTTCAACAGCAAACAGGAAATCAAAGATTTTTATAAAGTAATATGCAAAAGTAATTTAATCCCACCTGGAAAAATTGAAATGGGATGTGTTTTTTTTTTTATCTCTATAAAGACATATGGAGACAAATCTATACAATTCCCTTTAAAGTAACCCGAAATACATCATTGCCATGGATTCAGTTTAGAATTAATAACCATATCTTAACTACTAATTCATATTTATTAAAGATAGACCTTGTTGATTATTCTTATCATTTCATTGTAAAACTTGTAAAAATTGTATTCTTAGCAGAGTTCGAATTTCTATAAGATTTGCTATTAATCCCGTTTTTTTAATAAGGAGTCTTTAAGGCTCTAAAAAATAATTAAGGAAATATATAATACTCAAAATATATTGCTCTAGGTAAAAGTGATACTTATCTGCATACTTTTGATAATAAATGGAGGAAGTGGGATAGATTATTGCATATCACATAACAAAAGTATTACGCATGCTATACAATTGTATATTGTTGTAATCCCTGGTAATAATTGTAAATATTAGCCTTTTCACATACATGTCATAAAAATGAACATATAGTAAACCATTGTCTTGTCTAAAGACACCATTTCCCTCCTTCCTCCTTCTTTCTTGTCTTATCCTATTTGTTTATATCCTTCTTTTCTTCTGCATTCAATTAAATATATGTAAAAACGTTCACTTCAAATTACCTTTTTATTTATTTTTGCTTTATTATCATATACTTTAGGTGTTGTTACTTTTTTTTTTATCAATTTCAATTAGGTAAATAAAGGCGAAGTACAAATTGTTGGTAAAAAAATTAAACGAGTGAGCGTGGTGATTACAATAAAATTAAATGTTGATAGTGTAATGTATTGTTATCAAAATTCTGCAAAAACAAATCGGTTATATTAACTGTACACCATTATTATAATGTAACAAAGTTAGGCAATACAGCGTTTTATTCATGCTATTTAACGTATTATTCGAAGCGATGGAGTGCTGTAGACAATGTTAATATGTCATGATTACGATAACATTCTTTAAAAGAAGTCTGTCGTAGATGTCCAATTGCACAAATACAGAATAATCAATAACATTCGTCGAATTTAAGCAGTGGTAATTATTATGTACATTGCATTAATTTCTGTTATTTCTTTTGTACACCAAAACTATCGCATAGTAAAACATTATCCATATAAGCCCGGTATCAGTTTGACTAAAGCAATATTTGGACGTGAATATTAATATACAAAAAAAGTTGCTCGATGACTGCGAAAATCTTCTGAAATGGTGTGTAGTTTTGGAGGAAACGGAGATCATGGCTGCGGAAGGAAAATACATTTTACGTGCTTATCGGAGTTATTTTTAAAGAAAAAATATCCTTCTTTCCAACGGTACTACTCATTTTGATGTACATTAACTAGAGATGTTGTTTTTGATGCAAGAAACTAATTAGGTGGGGTCGAATTTTGACATCGAGAGCTTTCCACCCTTCTCGTATACATATTCATTGGGGTGGCATTTTAACCGAAAGTCGATATAAACCCCTAAAACAGGTAAAATTACTCTGAGCACCTTAGTTTAGATCCAAATATAGATGTAACAAATTATCAGGTCCCTGTGCTAAATACGTCTCCTTTATAACGCGATGACTGACGAAAGGACGCATAACATGCATTATGTTTGGAGCTCGCTGCGCCACAAAAATATTTCACTAACTTCTTTCTGAGAACCTTTTGAATGAACAAACAATCATTTAGATTTCTTTTCATCAATCCATGTTTTAATAATTGTCAGTAACAATGGTTTTTATACATAAAGCATTACACAGGCCTAGGTAGTGTTCACGAAAATAATAATAACGTCACATATTTTGACACAACGGCGCGTGCACTGTCAAAGTAAAGGTCATCGTAATACACATCGTAGTCGGCACTTTTAAAAGTTTAATTGAACTGGGAGTCATTGTCATTTTCGATAACACGGGCTCGTTTCTTGGGAAGGGGTTCTTGTTGAAAGTGAAACTCGATGTTTCGGCCTATCACTGAGCCAGAAAACGTTCTTTGGAATCCGCAATGAACCTGGAACATTGATAAAGTTGACCGGTTATACGAGGTCGCCATTGATTGTGTGTTTATCAGATAAGTTGAAGTGGAATTTAAACCTGCAGCTGTTGAATTTATGTGAAGTATCCGGGAGATTGCCTTGTGTTAATTTGAGCTGATGTGAGAATAGTTTAAATATTTCGAAATGCCCCCTTCTTCTGCCATCAATGCAAACAGGATCTTCGGTACATAGACAGACATTTTGTTTACAAAATTTGTAGTGCGTAGGAATATGATCTGTTTCCACGGTGACAAGACTCATTTGCATGTTTATTGTACGTGTGCTAAATCGTTTTTATTGAACGGCAACATTGCACGGAAATAGCCTGCATTATAAAATAAATTGTGATACTTTATATTATTTCTCTTACAGCTAGATCAGATCATAACACACACAGGGGAGAATACCTGTTTTCTGAACTTGGTCAATCATATGGATTGCTAAAGGCGTCTTCAAGACCGAGTAAGTACACACATACGAAATCTGTAAAAGGCTTCAACATATTGTACATTTAATTTTTTTAATTTTATCATCAGTGATACTTACGTACGATATTTTACATGCGAAGGTAGCTTTTTGAACAAATAAGAACACACACGAGACAAATGATAATAACTCTCCATATCCATGACAAATGTAGATTGCTCTCACACATTCCTTAAAATAATTTTGTTTTCACCTAAATAATGCACGACGATCGAATGTGTATGGGAAATACTTTAATTATCTTCCATTATATATTTTCCAGACGAGAGAGCCATGGATGGTTTCAAACGGGAAAATATAATCAGTAAGTGTTACAAGATATAACTACGTAACAGGTTTTCATTGAGTCTGGTATATTGTCTGTTCGTCCACCCGTCCGTCCGTATTTGTTTTTTATTACTTCTTCTCAAGAACCATAAAGCATTCGGTCATTATGTTGGCAATTTATCTCGCTGGAGAAACGACTAACCGCAAGGCAATTACTGGGCGAGAATGCTTTCAAGTTTGACTAATTTATATATCTTGAACAGCATTCATAGTCACATATGTAAAACGTGTTTAAAAACAACCAATTTCTTCTTAAAAGCACGGTGACCTAGAGCAATGATGTTTGGTTGGTATCTTACTGAGGTGATGGCAGGCCGACAGGCAGCCATCTTTTGATCGTTAAGGCTTGTCATTGCTATTTTTCAGAATGTACTTAAGATCTTTTTAAAATTTGATCAGCAGGTTCCCCATGGTCAATAACTGTGCATGTTTATTTTTGAGACTGATAGGGAAAACAAAATGGCTTACAGGCGGCCATTTTTGATTTTGACGGTTAAACTGGAGAGATCTTTCTCAAATTTGATATGCATGTCCCTTTTGGTATCTAGTTGTGCATTTCCCCCGATGAGACTAAGTAGGAAAACAAATGACTGACAGGTGGCCGTCTTGGATAGTGACAGTATTATTATCTTTATTTCACGGAAAGTTCTAGAGGGATCTTTCTGAAATTCTATATTTATGTTCCCGTAGATAAAAATACCCGTGGTCCTAATGAGAAAACGTTCTTCATTGACAGCACTTCTAATAATCTAAAATGCAAAATCAGTAATAACATTTGTAGTTTGTATTTTCACAATATGGTAGTCTGCACGTGTAAAGCGAGTGTAGTGAGTTTCAGTATCTGATTATCGCCTGCGAGGGATATTGATTTGAGTGCGTCATTTTTTGTCCGTCTGTCACGCTTGGTTTCCGTACAATAACTCTTTTACAAATGGTTTGATTACACATTTATAATGACATATGTCAGCAAATTTGATTCAAACCAATTTATGCATAATTAACGATAGGCCCAACTATTGACTTGTCATTGGTTCCACGGTAATAATCTCCTGAAAGTTATGTAGTGGACTTTAACTAAAGCTGTTCACATTTATACTGGCAAGTGTCATCAGGCTAAGTTCGACTATCAAATTAACACGTGCATATCTATGAAGAACTAATAAGGCTATCAACTTTTGATTGGTTAATTGGTCTCCATGCTACAACTTTTCATAAGAATGTTCGATTTCATCCATATTTGGTGTACACATGTATATTGACAAGTTATTACCGACAGTAGTGTCAGTCTGAGTTTAATTCCCAAATGAACACGTCGTGTATATTTATGCACAATTAAGGAGGCTATTAAGTTTCAATTGGTTAATTTGGTCTTCATGAAACGAATCTTTCAAAAAGTAGTCGATTTTAGTCACAGTTGGTTTACACATACATAGTATAGGGTGATAACGCCCAATTGATTACTCGATTTGACCAAATGATGTGCCTATGACCGAGCTCCCGACCCACCACAGCTCATACATATTTCACATCTATACACATTTAACTGAAGTAGAAAGCCAGATAGTCTCTCGGCCTATCTGTTTAAGGTTCTTCATCTTGTGGTACAGTTTATCTATACCAACCACAATAATGAACAATAAATATAACATGTCTCCATCTTGTTTGCTTGCTTAAGATTTAATTTGAGTTTTTTTGAAAGTAACTATATTTATAAGAATCGGTAACGAGGATTAGATAAACATGGGAAACGTAACAATTTCTACCATGACATATCTGGTTTGTGGAGCATAGTTATTTTGTTTATTCGCCTGTCACTTAAATCTTCATAAGAGCAAAACAAAAACTGTTTATTGTTGTGATTATGTTCTTATTTTTTACTTTGACAATAAGATGCTGCTAAAATTTATGTTTGTTCTTTTATATGGCTGTTGTACTATGATC